CTGATTGCGAAGCTACCCTGTGTTGCTGCAAAAATCTATCGGAATCTTTACCGGGAAGGCAGCAGTATTGGGGCCATTGACTCTAAGCTGGACTGGTCCCACAATTTTACCAACATGTTAGGCTATACTGATGCTCAGTTCACCGAGCTTATGCGTTTGTACCTCACTATCCACAGGTGAGCTAGATTTAGATTTAGTAATTATACCCTACTGCCTAGATTAATGCGAAAATTTTTTGTTTTGTTTTTTGAGATGGGATCTTTGTATGTAGCCCTAGCTGTTCTGGATCTCACTATGTAGACCAGGCTGACTTCAAATTAATAAAAATCTGCCTGCCTCTGCCTCCTAATTGCTGGGTTTAAAGGCATGTGCTACCATCACAACAATGGGGGCTAGGAGTGAGGGTTCGTTTAAAAAGTTTCTTAAAAAAAGTTTCAGGGGCTGGAGATACGGCTTAGAGGTTAAGAGCAATTCTACTGGCTGCTCTTTCAGAGGCCCTGAGTTCAATTCCCAGCAACCACATGGTGGCTCACAACCACCTATAATGAGATCTGATGCCCTCTTCTGGCATGCAGGCAGAATATTAGATTCATAATAAAGCTTTTTTGCTGGGTTTTGTTTTGTTTAAGTTTCTTAAAGTTATTATCAGGGAACAAGCAACCTGTAGCAGAGGGGTAAAATCATTTTGTAAGGGTTGAAACTAGGCAAGAAATAAGGAGGGACAGCTGACAGGCCTAGGGAAATTATTAACTCTGACTGGGAAGAACAAGTATGAGGCAGTGTCTCAGCTTCCAGGAGGCTCCCTCTTTTGGTCATCATTGTTAATTAGGGATCAGTGTCTAAGAACTTGTAGCTCAGTGTTAAAGAGTATTTGCTTAATGTGTTTGAGCTATGTATTTGACCCCTAGCATGGAAGTAAGTAAAGGTAGGGAGTAGGTATCAGCTGACTGCCTACAGGGTGTTATGACCCCAGAAGGCCAAGATGTGACAAAAGGCAGTGTTTCTGGTTCACAATCCACACTTGTTTTTCATATATCCCCACAGTGACCATGAGGGTGGTAATGTCAGTGCCCACACGAGCCACTTGGTGGGCAGCGCCCTTTCGGACCCTTACCTGTCCTTTTCAGCAGCCATGAATGGGCTAGCGGGGCCTCTACATGGACTAGCAAACCAGGTAAGCCTAGCCCTTTTTTCCCTTCCTGTTCTTTGTTTTGTTTTTGTTCACATGCTCTGTCCCTTATCTGGACATTCTTTCTTTAGTGTGTATATTGATATTTCTCTAATACAACCCTGAAATTAACATCTAGGAGGTGCTTGTCTGGCTAACACAGCTACAGAAGGAAGTTGGCAAAGATGTGTCAGATGAGAAATTACGAGACTACATCTGGAATACACTCAACTCAGGACGGGTAAGCAGCAAGGAGAGAAACTAAGACCCAAACACTGGAGCCCTGGTCTCAAGGGGGAAAATATGCAGGGAAAAAAAAAAAAAAAAAAAGCAATCCCTGCATTAGCCAAGAAGGTGGTTTCTCATTTTGTTTCCCTTGTGGATTTAGGTTTTGTTTTTTTGTTGTTTTTGTTTTTGTTTTTATGATGCTAGGACTTGAACCCAGCATCTCATGGTAAGTGCTGTGCCACTGAGCTATAGTCCCAGCCCTTACTTTATTTTTCTATTTTGAGACAGGGATTTCTCTAACTTACCTAGATTGACTTTGAATTTACAGTCCTGCTTGAGCACCAGGAAGAGGAAGAAGTTGTGCCTGAGTGTGCCAACTGTTATTTTTCTCACCTTTACAGGTTGTCCCAGGATATGGTCATGCAGTTCTAAGGAAGACTGACCCACGATATTCCTGTCAGCGAGAGTTTGCTCTGAAACATCTACCTAATGACCCCATGTTTAAGCTGGTTGCTCAGCTGTACAAGATTGTGCCCAATGTCCTCTTAGAGCAAGGAAAGGCCAAGAATCCTTGGCCCAATGTCGATGCTCACAGTGGGGTGCTGCTCCAGGTGAGTCCTATCTTCCTGCTTTCTTTCTCATCTGTACCACCATGTTCTCTGCAATGCACAAAATCACCCCCAGTAAGAACAAGGACACCGAACCCAAACCCTCTCGCATAGTCCTTATTTGAGACAGGTTTCACTCAGCCTTGACTGCTTGGAACTATATGGGAATGAAGGCATGCACCCACCACCAGGCCTGGCACTTTTCTTAGTTGGTGGTGAATGTGTATGTGGGTGCAGGTGGGTGCCAAGAGTTGATGTCAAGTGTCTGTCTCTGTTGCTTCCCCCCTTACCCGAGACTGAATTTTCTATGTAGCCCTGGCTGTCCTGGAACTCACTTTATAGACCAGGCTGGCCTCCCACTCACAGAGATCTTCCTGCCTCTGCCTCCATAGTGTTGGGATTAAAGGCATGCAGCACTGTGCTTGGCTTATCTTATTTTTGAAGATAGGGTCTCTTATTGGATCTGGAGTTCATTGATTCTACCCATTGACAAGCTCAAGGGGTCCTCCTGTTTCCAGGATTTCAGGCACTTGCACTTTAATGTGTATGCTAGGAACCTGAACTCAGATCCTCAGTCTGGAATGGCAAGCATTCTGTCTGCCTCACCCTTCTTAAATAGATGGAGTTTCAGGGCCATGCCACTAGGCTCCACCAGAGCAAGAATTCTTCTTCTGTCTTCTTTCTTCCTCAGAGCCCTTTGCTGTAGTTGCTTGTGGCAGGGGCTGGGTTGACTCTAGAGTGAGCTGTAATTGCTTTACTTTTCCTAGTGTTCTTTCTGCTTGGTCTGACTGGGTGCAGTCTCTAAGGCTTGTGTTGTTGTGGACTTGTGTGTGCCACTCTCTCTTCTCTCCTACCTTAACAGTACTACGGCATGACGGAGATGAACTACTACACGGTGCTGTTCGGAGTGTCTAGGGCGCTGGGGGTGCTGGCACAGCTCATCTGGAGTAGAGCCCTAGGCTTCCCTCTGGAAAGGCCGAAGTCCATGAGCACAGATGGTCTAATGAAGTTTGTGGACTCTAAGTCAGGGTAAACTGGGAGACTGGGGAAACTGACTATAAGAGAACAAGCAAGCTTAAAAATAAAGTATAATTTTGTTTTGTTTCAAGGGCCTTTAAGACTTAAGATTAAACTGTATCTGAGGCACTGAAAATATATTTGAAGTTAAAATATAAATTAAGACTTAAAAGACAGCAGTGACCCCATCTTCCCTCTCTAGCTCACTTCTCCTACCTGGAATGAGTTGCCCACCAACTATAGGACAACCAGAACTAATAATGCATGTAGTCAGGGTTAGATCTCTAGAGTGAGACTTCGGCTCCTCTTTGTTTAGGTTGAAGCAGGTTACAGAAAAGCTGCAGTCACTCTGTGAAGCTATTGCTTCCACTCTACCAGCCCTCCAAGTCATTTAGACCAGGCCAGGCCCCCTTTGTTTCCACAGGAAGCACATTGATGTCAGCAATGTCAAATCCTAGGGCCTTTTGCCATGAACACAAGCACCTCCTAGCAAGATCTATTGGTTAAGCTGGAAACACTTCAACAACTTTTTACGCTATCAGGCATGGTATTTATCATGACTGTTACTCAGCATTTGATCCTATTCCTCCTTTTAAATTATACCATTAAAATTACGGTCTGGGAGTATTGTGTTTCCTTCCAGGCTTTTTGTATCTGCTGTGCCTCAAGCCGAGGATGCTCTGGGCCTCTGTCTGGCCTCTCTGCTAAGGACCTCTTCCAGCAGGTCTGTCTGATCTGTGGTCTTCCCAGTTATTTGGCTTTATCAGTACAATGTGAACTAGGCCTTGTACTTCCATGGAACATAAGCCACTGTCTTCTGACCTTAGTTTCTCCTGTTAATATGCTCTAGCATAGAACAGGGCCTCAGGAATGCCCAGCCTCTTTGTGGTCTGGTCCCAGGATAGCCTTTCTTTTTGAACAGAAAAGGGATTTGCGATTAGACATAGTGTCCATTGAATATCATATGGACCTAGGGCTGGACATTCAAAACCAGTAGGCCTTCTTTTCATCCCCTGCAACAAGGAAATGACCTTTTATTTATCAACATCTTTCTTGCTCTTTCAGCAATTACTTTAGCAGCCCCATTTGCACAGATTTTCAGTGACTCAGAATGCGCTACTACCTTTTCTTTGAGAAAGGGTTGAGATACACTCCATTTGTGCCCTTCTGTACCCCCAAACTCCTGCCTGTGTTTGTGTGGAACCCAGCCCAGCAGCACCCTGTGGAGATGGACACACTGTAAACCCTTGGGTAACTGTTAGTCATGATGCAGACTTCAGGTTGTTCTGTATAAAATGAAAAATAAATGTTTTTATTATCAATGCTTGAGCCTGCTATTACATAAACACACTTGATTATGGGGTGAGGGGTCTGGTTAGCAAGACCTGAACTAGTGGCTGGTACACAGTGATTCTGTACATTCCTCTCTTCAGGCAAGTTGGGCATTCAGAGGAAAAGGCTGATTTTCCAAAGACATTCAGTCTCTCCCCCAGGTTAACCCTCTTCCCTCCTAATTTGGAAAAACTGTAACAGCCCTCACAGATGCTCAGCTGACTAATGCAGAGGTGGTCTAGCCCTCCGCGTGAAAGGAACATGAGTTGTGCAAGCTGAGAAGGGCTGCTAGCTCCAAACCTGGACTCTAGAGGGCACTTGTACTTACAGGGTCTCTTGGCCACTTTGCTTAAGGAGGCCTCCAAATAAAGGGTGGTCCTGGGGGCAGTAGATATATGGGATTCAGTCTAAGACTGTACGAATCTATCCTCAGACTCCTGCAACAGCTGACCTTCTGGAAAAGTCTATTAATAGGCAAGAGTAGGTCCTGGCATACAGGATGTGCTACTATAGTTAGCAAGGACACTATGTGCAAGAAGCTGTCTTCTTACATCTTTATTCCTGTGGGAAAGGGACCTGTGACTATCTTCTGCTTATCCCACTGTCCCCACCCCAAAAAAACAATACCAAAGGGAGAAGAAGGCAGATTCACGCTGTCACAATTTATTGATGTTTTATGAAAACAGGCCATGTGGAAGAAAAGGGGACATCCCAATAGTATAGAGAGCACTGTTAATGATCTCTCCTGCTGCTCTGTGTTACTGATGATTGTCAGACAGCATGGTGTCGTGTTCCTGAACTGAGGCAGTGGCCTTTTCTCTTGAAATCTTAGGGTAAGAGTTGCTTGCCACCCAGTACCTCAGTGTGAGGAAATTACTCCTGTAGTCCCTTGACTGGGTACTAAGGCTTCTTGACCTGGCACAGAGACCACTACAGCCCTGGTTTTTATTCCGTGTGAAGCGGCTGTGGGCATATAAGGCTTTCAGAACACACCTGACCCTTTCCTGTGCATCTATCTCACTTCCATGTCTGCTGTCTTTCCCACATGTCCAGCCAGCATGCAGCCCAGTTTAGTAAGAATTAAGAGGTGAACTTTTGACCTCTCTCAGAGCAAGAGCCAAACCAAATAAATAAAAATTGGGTGGGAACAGGGTAGAGGCAAGGGGACAAGCCTTTGTCTCAAGTCTGGTGCACTTCATGGAACATCAGTTCACGGGGGATGGCTGTTTCTGGACCAAACTTGGTGGCTGCCCGACGCTCAAAGGCAGCAACGTTCTGTTTTACAACTTCATCAAAAAACATGGTTGCCAGCTGAGAGTGCAGCAGAGAACGAAACTCAAAGGAAATCTAGAAATGCATAAGAGATAGTCAGAAACTTCAAGGTCATATTGGATAGTTCCTGGCCAAAGAGGAGACTGATTTTTAGTGCCTTCTTTTTCCTCAAACCCCACCCCCCACCCCAGACATCTGACATGGACTTAGACCTCTGGGTAATTACTGACTTCTAGTATTTAGCGCTTAGATCTATCCTCCCCACAAAAACTGACTCACCGAGAAGTCCACAGTGCAGGTTCGAGGGTAGGCAGGAATGCCGGGGCTGAATCGCCAAATAGACTCTAAGTGGTTGAAGAGCTTGCCATCAGTGCAAACTGCCTAGAATAGGTACAATTAGCTAGTTAACTCCCATTGTTAAGGAAGAGGGGTAGTGTTAGAGGAGCTAGAGCCACAGCTCTCAGCCTGTGGGTAATAGCCCCTTTGGAGGTTGATGAAGGGCTCTTTGACAGCACTCACCCAAGACCATGGGAACAATTTACATTATGATTTTTTTTCTTAATTTATTCACTTTACATCCAGATCATACCCCCTCTCTACCTTTTCCTCCCTACCCCTCTCCTCTAGTCCTCAGAAAGAGGGAGCCCTTCTTTCCTACCAACTGACCCCAGCCTATCAAGTCTCATCAAGACTGCCTGTATCCTTTTCCTCTGTGGCCTGTTAAGGCTGCCCTGCCAGGGAGGAGAGATCAAAAAGCAGGCAACAGAGTTTGTGACAGAGATAGCTCCTTACTCAGCTACCTACAATGGAGACTGAGCTGCCTGTGGGCTACATCTTACAAGGGGGCCTAGGTCCTTTCCATTCATGGTCTTTGGTTGGTACATGGAAATAATTTTATGGTTGGAGTCACCACAACATGAACTATATTAAAAGTGTCACAACATTAGGAAGGTTGAGAACCACTGAATTAGAGGGTTTATCTTGGTGGAACTATCCTGGGTTGACCCAGCACCACCCAAAATAATTAAAAGTGGTTTTCCCAGCCAAGCGGTGGTGGCACATGCCTGTCTTTAATCCTGACACTTGTGAGGCAGAGGTAGGCAGATCTCTGAGTTCAAGGCCAGCCTGGTCTACAAAGCAAGTTCCAGGACAGCAGGCTACACAGAGAAACCCTGTCTCAAAAAAAAGAAAGAAAGAAATTAGTTTTCCTTTTAATGTTATAGTAGGTAAATATTTAACATGTAGACATCAAGTAATTATAGGAAAAGCCAAAATAGTCCTTGAATATGAAACTGCTCATGAACAAAAAACTTACAAAAATGAAACTGCTAAGGAAAAAAAACTTCCTGGTGAATCCCTCCAAGACAGGCCTTACCTTGACCATGTGTGGTTTCACCATGGAGACAGCAGAGGTATAACGTTCCAAGACAGGTGGGAACCCAACCTCCAGCTGGGCTTTCAGGTGCCCCTTACGGCTGGACACTACCAGTGACTTCTTACACCACGGCACAAACTCGCGGTACTCCTGGACACTGGACACCACTTCAAACATCTCCTGCATTGAGTACCTAGGGCAAGAGGAGAGGCCAAGGGCCAGCTCGCTGAGCCACACTCTTCCTCGCCATTGGTCCCAAAATAATGCCAGTGGCCACTGACCAGGAGCCCAGACAAACCTGGATGATATATTTTGCACTTACAGTGAGTGGTTCCCATTCCCACCTGACAATGTCTAGCCCAGGCTAGCCTTAAACTCTATAGAGTTGAGATGATTTCAAGCTTCTGATCCTCCTATCTTTGCTTCTTAGAGAGCCGAGGTTGTCTGTGCACAGCACACCTGATTTGTGTTAGGGATCAAACAGCCTTTGCATGCTAGGCAAGTACGCTGCCTAGCATCTCATTTGAGACATCTCAAACCAGAATGCTTTTATATTGTTTTATCCCAATACAGACTACAGATGAGAGGCAGGCTGTCAGTTTTACTGGTAGCCAAATCTCAATTTTTTTTATTATCATTTTGTGTGAAGCATATGTGCAGATAAAAAGACAGTCTTGTGTAGCCCAGGCTGACCTTAAACTCACTAAAAGCCCAAGTTGACTTCAAATTTATGATCCTCCTGCCTCAGCATCCTGAGTACTAAAAACACAACTCTGTAGTAAGTTGTAACTATTAGTAAGTTGTAACTTACTAATAGTGTGGCCTTAGATAAACTACCTGTGCCTCCATTCTCTTGCCTATAACACATTAGAGCCAATAACACTTGGTTTGTGCTCAGAAGGGTTAAATCGGGCAGTGTTTTTGAAATGCCTACAGGTATGAATTAGAAATGGAACTCAGTTGGTAGATGCTGGTTTGGTATGCAAAAAGCCATAGGTGCAGTCCCCAGCAACTACATAAATGACTTGTGGTTGGTGCTGGATGGATGGCTCTCAGCTGTTAAGAACCTGTATATTCTTGCAGAGGACCCAGGTTTGATTCCCAGCATCCACATCAGGGAACTCACATTAACTTACAGCCGTCCAGCTCCAGGAGGATCAAACAACACTGGCCTCCAAGGACACACACAGTTACACATAATTAAAAATAAATCTTTTAAAAATAGAAAAATAAGCCAGGTGCAGTGGCTCACGCCTGTAATCCCAACACTCTGGGAGACAGGCCGGTGGATCTCTGTGAGTTTGAGGCCAGCCTGGTCTATAAAGTGAGTCCAGGACAACGAAGGCTACAGAGAGAAACCCTGTCTCAAAAAAACAAAACAAAAAAGGAGAAAATATAAAGATAAATGGTTTCGGTAGTGGTGACTTGTAACTCAGCACTTAGGATTGCTTACCTATTCAGTCTAGCATCTGGTAACACGTGCTCAAATAGCTTCTCTGTTCTCAGAGCATGATTTTATTTGTCAGGAAAATAATACCTTGTTGTCTTTTTTTTTAATGTGTTACTCCAAGCATGGTATCGCACGCCTTTATATGCGTGAGTGTTGTGCCTAAAGGCACATTTGTGTGTGTATGCTGCTGCTTGAGCTGCTCAGTCTCCAAGCGGGCCTGGGACTCAAACTCTGGTGCTCTGCAACAACAAGTGCTCTTAACCACTGAGCCAACTCTCTAGTCCCTATAGTTAAAATTTTTTAAAAGCATTTTTGTTGGTGCAGGTCTTTAAAGGCTTGGACACAGCCTTTAGTGCCAGCACTTAGGCAAATCTCTGAGTTTGCGGCCAGCCTGATCTAAATAGTTCCAAGGTGGACAGCCAGAGGTACTGTCTCAAACAAACAAACCTAGGTCCATTGATAGAGTAGTTTCCATTGATAGAGTAGTTTCTCAGCATGCACGAGGCCCTAGGTTCAGTCCCCAACACTGCATGTTAACAGCATGGTGGTACATGCCTGTAATCCCAGCTCTAGGAAAGTAGCTGGAAAGGCAAGATAGAAGTTCAAAGCCATCTTGACTATATGTAAAGTTCAAGGCCCACCTAAGCCACATGAGAGCTTGTCTCAAAATGTGTGTGTGTGTGAGAGAGAGAGAGAGAAAGTGCCCATGCCCATGCAAATGAGAGAGAGAGAGTGCACGTGCAATATGCATGACACAGGCTCTGGCTATGTAACCCAGGGAGGCTTCAAGTTTGCAATCTTGTCTGGCCTCCAGGGTTTATATTACAGGCCTGTGCCACCACACCCAACCACCCAGTGGCTTTGATACGGTTCTATGATGTATCTCAATTCTAGGCTTCTTAATGTGCGCACTGAGCAACCGAGGAGGGAAATTTAGGTTGGAAGGCTGGCAGCAAAAACATTGCCGGGGAGGTGGGTGAGCCAATGTGAATCTTAACCCATTATTGGTACATGGTTGTTTATTTGGAGGGAAGAGAAGGATGCTCACCCCATGATCCTACGCTCGGAGTAAGCCTTTCTCTTGTTGGTGAAGGGAGCAGCAAAGCCCATGAAGGAACGACTGGGAGGTAGGCCAGCCTCAGCAGCCAAGACCTGGGCAGCACGAGGCAAGAAGAGGTTACCGGAAATCAGAAACCTAGCGCCAAAAGGAAAGGAGAGGCAGCGTCACGATTCTGTTTTCGTATTTAACTGGTTCCAGGTGAAGGGGAAGAGAGATGCATCACAGAGGAAGGTCGTTCGGGCAAACTTTTCTCCCCCCTAGCACCTGCTGCAGCTAACGGGGCTGGCTGGCCAGGCAGTCACGAGTGCGAAAGGTCGAGGGCGGCTGAGGACAGGGCTAGGGATGGGGATGGGGAAGAGGACACGTCCGAAGTGCCAGCTGCCTTTGGGGCAACGCCACTGCCGCAGGCAAACTCGAAGCATCTCTGACCCCAGTTCCTGACCAGGCCCATCAAAGGCAGAGCGTCCACAAAGGGTCAAGCAGTGGCTGGCACGTACCCACCCAGAGCACGCAACTCGTACACGGATCTCCAGAGCTCTATTCGGGCTCCCAGAGCCTGCCACCGTCAGCCCTTCTTCGGCCCGCCGTCTAAGGGCTGCCACCCTCCACCGCGTAACCTCGGGGTGCCCGGCGACCCCCTCCGGCCCCGCGCGGACGCCCGTGCTTGCCTCTCACCTCATTGGCAGCGGCAGCCGCGGAGGGCCCGGGGGCGGGGGCGGGACGGAGCGCGCGCCCCGGCTAAGCGAAAAGCCGCCGCAGCTCCGGGCGGCCGCGCGCGTCGGGGCCGGGAGCCTCCGCGCGCCCGCCGAGGCCATGAGCGCCCCTGCCCCTGCCCCGCACTGTGCGGCGAGCTGCAGGGCAAGCTGGGCGGGGAGGGAGGCGCGGGCTCCGGCTGCCTTCGCCCTGCTCTGGCCCGCGCGCCGGGTAGGCTAGCACTGAAGCGGCGACCGCAGCGCCCGGTCCCCTCACGTCACGCCGTTGCCAGGGTTCGGTAGAGGGAGAGCGAGGAGGGAAGGGGCAACGCTGCCTGTCGGGAGATGTAGTTTCTTTGATACCTCTGGCGAGAAAGAAAGGGCGCTGGGTGCGTGTCTATGGAGCTGCAGAGATGGCCCGGGGGAGCGAGGTCGCCTGGCACAAGCTACTTGGAGAGTCTGTGATCACCGGACCTGATACGTAGGCGCAGAGGCGACGTTGTGGGCGTGCCAACGGCAGAGGTCTACACATGTCCAGGGGACGCCTCTCAGAGCTCTTCAGAGTGAGAGTCTGTTCACCGCGGTGGCCTTCGCAGTGCCTGCTGCTGCGGATTTACATCTTTGGAAAAGGATATTAACGTTGCAAGCTCTGGGCTGACTTGCATAGTCTCTCCTCGATGTACACCCCGTTCTCTCCCTTCTTCCCCCTCTCGTTATATCAGACAGATATTTCAGCTCCTTAGCTTGAACCGGCTTGAATTTGCAGTTCATCATGAACGTGTCCCTGGGGGCATAATTTTCCCTTAGTATTTATGAAAAGAAGTAGGAGGCTGAGACAGGATTGCCACGAGTTCCAGGCCAGCCTGGGCTACATAGCCAGTTTTAGAGTAGCCACGTCTACACATTGAGGCAAGGCCCACTCTAGATATGTTTTGTTTGTTTTTTGAGGTGCCCTCACTATGTAGGCCCTGTTGGTCTGGAACTCTTGGAGGTGCTCATGCCTCTCAGCAGCTGAGACTACAGGCAGGAGCCCCAGAAAGGACAGCTCAGAGATGTTTGCTTTGATTTGAAACATGATCTTGCTCAGTAACCTGCACTGCTAGCCTTGAACCCCTGCCGCAGTTTCCCAGTTGCAGGAATTACAGGCGTGAGCCACCACAAGTGGCCAGAATGTACTTTTAGAGAAAACCATCATTGTCTGGAAAATGAGACATCACAGGCAGAAAGCCCAACGGTAAATACCATTTACTGCTTCCTATTGTTCAAGGAGAAGACAATTGCTCTTGATAAAAGCAGGAACAAAGGGAAATGAGAAAAGAAACAAGCTACATATTAGAGATGAGACCTAAATGGATGAAAAATAAAGCAAAATTCTCCCAAGTGAGGGCTGAATTTAAGGACTTGGGACTGCCACAGACCTAGCTCCCTCTCCTCCTGTACTAATGCTCTCCACATTCATTCGAGCTTTGTCTGACAATCCAATCTGGTGGCAGAAGACAGGCAATCAAAGAGCTACGTTGTGATACAACTTGAATGCTTTATACAAATAAGGTCCTGGATTCCAGAGGCTGGCCAAATTGCTCAGTGGGTAAGAGTGCTTGCTTGCCCAGCCTGATCTGAATTCAAACCCCAGGACTCCCCATGGAGAGGGCCTTCTCCTCTGTCATAGACACACACTTAATAAGTTTTTTTTTTCTTATGAACAAATAAATGCTTTGTCTCTTTTCCTTTTGCTCTCTTTCTTCCACCTTCCTGAGGGGTATGAACCCCTAGATACAGGATGACTTCATTTCTTTTCCTCTTTTAACATCTTTCCTTCCAAGCTCTTCAGGGAGAGCCTGTAACATCCTCATTCCCTTCCAGTTCAGATGTGGTGATCTGACAGCATCTGACCTTGAAGGGCAGTTCACTCCTTCCAGCTCTACTCCCTGGTCTACACCTGCCTCCTCTGATGTGTGAGAGAGACAGCTGCTTGGAGTGAGAATGAGCAGGTTAGGTAAAAGAAAAATTAACTGGGATACATGACTGAACTGTGACCTCATTAACACCGCCTTAACTGACTTAACTGCTTCAGAATCCCTATGGTCCGGTAGCCCTACAAAACCAATGTGCTTGCTGTTCTCCAACTAATTAAATAGCTAATTACTCCCATTTAATTCTTTCCTAGTTCATTTCCTTTACCTCTTGTTGTGCCCCTGCCATTTCACACCAATAACCTTTAAGTACTGACTTAAGACACCTCCTCCAGGAAGATTTTCTTGACTGAACCAACATAGGCACCACTCTGAATACTAAATTCCATGAAAACAAGCATGAATCCTGTATTTTCTCATTGTTTTGTGTGTTTGTTATATTTTCCTAGATTATAAACATTTCAAAAAGAGACACTTGCCATAAATTACAAGTTTCTTAAAAAAAACTTTCTCTGTGTGTGGTTTTTAGACACAGGGTATCTCTGTGTAGCCTTGGCTGTCCTGGACTCACTTTGTCAACCAGGCTGGCCTTGAATTCACTGAGATCCTCCTGCCTCTGCCTCCCTGAGATTACAAGCCTGCCACACCTGCGCCTGGCCTTTGGCTGGTTTTGAGACAGAGTCTCATAAATAGCCCAGACTTACCTCAAACTCCTTATGTAACCAAGGCTGGCTATGAATTCCTGATATTCCTTCTAAGTTACAGACATATACTACCATACTTGGCTAGAATTTCTTTTTTGTTTGTGTGCTTGTTTTGAGACTAGCCTCACTACTAAGTCCTCACTGCCCTGGAACTTCCTATGTAGAACAGGCTGGCCTCAAACCTTCAGAGATCTGTCTGCCTCTGCCTTCCAAGTGCTGGGAATAAACACGTGTGCCTCTACACCCAGTTTAGCTAAAACTTCAAAGTTTCTACCTACTGAGAAGATAATACTGAACCTTCACATTTGTTAGTGTGGGGCGTCCACCAGAGAAGACTGCACAGACATGGGTTTAAGACAATAGAAGGTCTTTACGAGCTGACTCCAACTACACTGGTATTTAGGATCCCAGAGTAGCCCTGAGCCTTCCTCAGGGTGAGCTTTTAAAGCACAAACCCATGTCCTGGTTGGCATACTTCAGTTAACAAGAACAATTAGCCAGAAGCAGAACTACAGAAGCCAGAAAGCTGCGGATTTTGAGGGATTAAGCCTTTGTCTTCATGTTGACAGGTAAGTTGTCTTCATGCTGCATTTTGTGGCTAGAACGGTACCTTTCATTATGGCGTCAGTTGTGCTAAAGTCTGAAGCCCTGTTACATTAGAAGTAAAACCAATGTCTAAAGAAAGACAGGCAGGGTTGGGGAGATGGCTCAGTGGTTAAAAGCACTGGCTGCTCTTCCAAATGACCTGGGTTCAATATTCAGCACCCACATGGTGGCTCAGCACTGTTTATAACCCCATTTCTATGGAATCTGACACCTTCATACCAACACACAGAATAAAATTAAATAATTTCTTTTACAAAAAAGAAGAAGAAGAAGAAGAAGAAGAAGAAGAAGAAGAAGAAGAAGAAGAAGAA